GTAACAACTGCCCTCCTGGTAACACACCCCTTCTGCTACTATTAACCTCCTGGTAACACACCCCTCCTGGTAAAACACCGCTCCTGGTAACACACGCCTACCGGTAACATATGCCTCCTGGTAACACAGTCCTCGTGGTAACACACGCCTACCTGTGACACACGCCTTCTGGTAACACACGGCTCCTGTTACCACATGCCTCCTCGTACCACACGCCTCCTGGTATCACACGCCTCCTGGTATCACACGCCTCTTGGTAACGCACGCCGGTTACATTGCAATCTCTCGCCAGAGGGAAGAAAGAAGAAGTTAAAGGAAGAATAAAAGGAAAAAGGAAGATCAAAGAAAGAAGTACGAAGTAAGAGAGATGAAAGGACGTGGATATGCATAAGAGAAGGAAGGGAGGAAGAAATGAGGAAAAGGGAAAAAGAATAGAAAAAGGATGATGGGGAAAAAAGGAAACGAAGGATAAAGGGAAGTGATGGTAGAAAGGGAAAAAACTGGAGATAGTGGTAGGAAGGTGAATGAAGTGAATGGAAGAAGGGAAAGAACAGGAAAAAAGAGAAAAGAAGGAGGTAGGGAGGCGGCGATAGGTATAGACATAGGTAGATATTAAGATCAATTTGTTGCTCAAGGACATTGGTGGGAGGGAGACGGCGAGAGAGAGAGAGAGAGAGAGAGAGAGAGAGAGAGAGAGAGAGAGAGAGAGAGAGAGAGAGAGAGAGAGAGTCACATGAATGCGGAAGATCTTTTTTTTTTTTTTTTTATGGGGATTAGCCCACCCGGACACAGGTCACTGACCCACATCGGGGCCTGGGAGGCGAAAATGTAATAATAATAATAATAGTAATAATAATAATAATAATAATAATAATAATAATAATAATAATAATAATGAAAATAATAATAATGATAAATAATAGTCATAATAATTCATAATAAATAAAATTTATGATAAAACAAACAAAATAAAATAATGATGATAATAATACAGTAACTGTAATAATAATAATATTAATAATAAAGAACTATAAATACAAAAATGAAAGAAAAGATCAAAAGTGAGAAACAATATATGTATGTTGTGTTGTCAATGGTAAGAGAAACAATCGAGACCCTGCAATTGTGTGTAAATGAAGCAGAAAGTCAGATCAGCAACCTGGGACTTGGTCACAATTTTCGTGATGCCATATGGCAGCAGGGTCTACCATTAGACAACACATTATGCTTCCAATATCTTCCCAGGCGGTAGTACCTCCCTGCTTGGTAGCTGCCTACTACCTACTACTGAGAAAATACAATTATGTTTAAACTTTGCGATCAACATCATCTCCTACTCTCTCTCTCTCTCACTAACATTACCTTAAATCTTCTCCTTTCTTTTTCACTCTCATTCTCTCACAATTATTCCTCCTATTGTCTCTCTCTTTCCTTATAGTGTCTTTCTATCTCTCTTTTGTCCCGAAAATGTGTACCTTGCAGAGTAACACACACACACACACAATACTACTACTCCTACTACTTTGCTGCCACCCGGAATCGAGTATGACGATCATCGAGCCATGATATGAGGTATTAGGGATGTCACCTAGGTTGGTGAGCTCTGAGGTGACTAAAGAGACCGATAAGGGACCGGCAGGGTTATTCACACTCGTTGCACATGCGGAGGGCTCCATCTACTGCGGGAGGGGCGGTGACAGCGTCTTTCCTGCCCTGACGCTTGTCTGTCTCGGTTTGCAGTCTGGCTAACTCGAAAGTATTGACATCTTCTCGTGTGGTGCTCCTCCAAGCGTTACGATGTGGAGTAATCGACTCCCAGGTGAGGGGGTCGATTTGGCACTTATAAGGTTTGTCTTAAGACTATCCTTATACATTTTCAATTGCCCGCCGGCGTTACGTTTGCTATTCGTTAGGTGACTGTAAAGTAGCTACTTTGGCAGTCTATTGTCGTCCATGCAGGTAACATGGCTAGTCCAACGTAGTTGTTCATGGATAATGGTAGCCTCGATGCTCCTACAGTTGGTGTCAGGAAGAATACTGGCATTTGTTCTCTTGTCTTCCCAGCGAACTTGGAGGATGGAACGTAGACTACGTTGGTGAAAGATTTGAAATGCCTTGCGGTGCCTCCTCTATTTGACCTGTCTCATTGCCATTTAGCAGGGTGGGGAAGACCACTGCTTGATATACGTACAGCTTTGTAGATAATTTCAGCTCCCTACAGCTGAAGACACGATTTCGGAGTCTGTCAAAGGCTTGAGATGCACATCTGATCCGATGCTAAATCTCTTCATCGATGTCTGTGGTGGTGGACAGGTGGGAACCGAGATACTGAAAGTGGGCAACATTAGAGAGGGCAGTACCGTTAAGCTGAATAGATGGTAGAGGTGTGACTGAACCAGGGGCAGGTTGAAAGCGAATCTGAGTATTACGTACATTCACCTCAAGGCCGAAGTGTGCATACGCGTTTGCGTAGGTGTTAAGGATCTCCTGTAGGTCGTGTTCAGTGTGAGCAACAAGGGTGAGGTCGTCCGCATACTAAAGTTTAGCAATGGAAGCTGCCGACAACTTTGTTCTTGCCTGAAGTCGTCTTATGTTGAAAAGACCCCCTTCACCCGGTACTCGATGTTCACCCCGCTGGCTAAATTGTCACTGGCACGAGTAAGGAAGGCAGCCAAGAAGATGAAAAAGAGAGTCGGTGCCAGTACACATCCTTGTTTAACCCCTGTTTGGATGGGGAAAAACTCTGACTGGATGCCGTTGTGCAGGGCACTGCCGTTCATGCCATCGTGGAGTTGCCTCACAATGGCGATGAATTTTGGTGGGCAGATGAAACGGCTGAGGGTACACCACAGGGCCTCCCTGTTGACCGAATCGAAGGCCTTGGTTAGGTCGATGAAAACTATGTACAGGTCACGACGCTATTTTCCTGTATATGGCGGGCAGCAAAGATCATGTCAGTGGTGCCACGTGATGGTCTAAAATCACATTGAGATTCTGGGAGGAAGTTTCCCCCTCAAGAAAAGTCTGTTTAGGAGGACTCGAGCGATAATCTTGCCAGCTACGGAGAGCAGCGAGATCCCACGGTAGTTGCCACAGTCTGACAGGTCTCCCTTGTTCTTATAAATATTGACAATGGAGGCGTCTTTAAGAGCTTGGGAGATTTCTCTGACAATGATATAGTCAATGAGATGCCAGTGTTTGGATCGTGGGTGTTGCCACGAACCCTTGAACTTGTCGGCCTGCGTAAACAAGGTATTGGTGATAGTAAGGTTGTGTGCAGCACACTTGCTGAGGAGGAGTAGGCCGTTGGGATTACATCTGCCTAGTCTATTTCTCCCTATGGTTTCCTGCCAAATGTTAGCATCTCTGCCAACTCTGGCATGAAGTCGTCAAGGAGCACAACTTTGTCTTCTCTTGGGATAGAGGTTAGCACTCTGTCAAGGTCGGCATAAAAGGCTTCCTTAATGTCATACTCTGCATCCAGTTCTGGGGCATATGCACTGATGAAGAAGGCATGACGTGAGTGATTCAGTGGGACTCGCAGCGTCTTGAGGCGCTCGTTGATCCCAATAAGCATTTGAGTTAGCCTGTGTAGGATGCGTGTTTGCGGATGGCAAAGCCAACTCCATAAATGCTGTTTCTCTCAACAGTAGGATTACCCTTCCAGATGAAGGTGTAAGCAGTTCCCCGTTCTGTGAGTTGGCCCTCATCTGGGAGCTGGGACTCACTGATGGCTGCTATGTCGATGTTATACCTAGCCGGCTCTTTTGCCACAAGAGAAGTTGTTCTTTCAGGACGCGTAATCGTGCCATTATCCTGAAGGGTCCTGATATTCTATGCAGCGACCATAAGAGGTTGTAAGGTTTGTTTTTGTTTGGATCTGTGATTTTGGTTGTGTTTTCGACCACATAAGGATGACCTTACTGGGTGCGGTTGCACATTCAGGTTGGGTTTTTAGGCAGGCTGTGTTTAGGGCACCTTTTGTAGCCCCCTCCCCATGTGGGGTGAGGAGAGTGGCTACCCGAAAGGGATGCTCAGAAGCACAGACAGGACCAGATTGCACTGCTGCCCCAATCCCAGTGCATAAACGACCATATTGTCTGTGCCGCCCATGTGCAGAGTTGTGACTAGAGACTCCCTGCAGTCATTTGTGCCTGTCCTTGTTGCCACTCGTCAGTCGCCATAGGACTTTTGGGAGTATAGGGGTTTTGATGATGATGAGAGGTATGATGAACTGAATGAAGGCTGTGCATGAGTTGATTTATGTTGTGAGGCAGGAGCACAGGCTGCAACCACTCATCTTGGCTCTCCCTTTTCCTTATCCATTAGTGCAAATGTTGCAACGACTGGGGAGAGGGTAAGTCTCAATGGACTGCCTATAGCCCAGTTTGTTGGGTTTTTCCTTAGTAGCCTGTCCATCAGGCTTTGCTTTCGTCTTCCGGTGTAGTCGTTGGGTTTCCACGGTGGTCACCTCTTCCGCCTACACCGCCGTTGGAGTCTGTAAACATGTCTGCCTGATGCAGGGGTCCACAGCAGATTTTTCGTTTGGGGTTTACTCCCGTAGCCTTATACCTACCAAGATAGCGGGGCGGTGGTTGTTAGGCGCCAGGACGTGTCCACATGTCAGTGGGCCTATGTGCCGTCCCTCTGGGGCCCACTGCTATTCCGAGATCTTCTGCTGATCTAGTCTTGGCACACGAGGCACCTAGTTACAGTGTGTTGCCACTAGGAGGTACAGCAGGAGTCTACTGTAGATGGTGAGGAGGCTGTGTACTGGAAGGGGAAGCCTTATGCAAGTTGCTTCCCTGTTCGGCATGAGGGCTAGCCAGCGGCGGTAGCTGAAAGTGAGAGGGAGCAACTAGTGCTTGCACCTTAACATTAAAATAATGCTGCCACTCTAGACGCATTTCACCACCCTCTGTGTGACACACACACACACACACACACACATATATTAACCAAAGCTTATATATTTTTGCAGCAGTTTAACTTCACAGTCGATGTCACCAGCCATTACCAAATTTAATGTCCAGAGAAAGGTCGAACTGGCCGAAGAGTAGGTTTAGTGTTTCCGAGAAGAGGGCGATGATTTAGGTATGGGAGAGAGAGAGAGAGAGAGAGAGAGAGAGAGAGAGAGAGAGAGAGAGAGAGAGAGAGAGTTTACCTATATTTATTACTGGAGTATTATTTTTGTTTCGGTATTTTTATTCCAGTTATTGTATTTATTGATATTGCCATGTCAGAGTTTCATCCCTTAAATTTTATATATATATATATATATATATATATATATATATATATATATATATATATATATATATATATATATATATAACGTAAACAACTACTAATGCATATAATGAGGCACACAAAACACAAACGCTACACACACACATACCAGCAAAAATTAATTTCACGCGTGTGTGTGTGTGCACAATATCGACCTCAGAAAATGGAAAAGTCACAATAAAGATGAAAATGAACTTCAATTCCCACTGTAACACAACACTCACGTCTCCCTAAAAGAAAACAGCCCATGATTTTCATGTGTGAGTAAACCTTTTCCTACTCAACTCTACAGAGGGCGAGAAGGACACTATCATGAGGACAACCACGGGGGGCATCCTCCAAAAGGAATTATTCGACCAATTATAACTACGTACCTCGGAGTTGTAATTTGCAATTACCTGTCCGTAACCACGACTACCGGGAGGAGGTGACTAGCATGTGGACCGTATTGTGTGTGTCTCTGTGTGTGTGTGTGTGTGTTATTAGTCAGTTGGTCTGTCACGTCAGTCTTTTCTAACAATAAAGTCAGCTCGTAACTATATAGTGATCAATGCTGTTTACAAATTAACGATACGTTGTTTGTATATAACAATACGACTGAGGGTTTGGTGAAAAATCAACTCAGAATCTTATAATTAGGACGACCTTACCTTAGGCGACGGTGACAACCCCTTGAATTAACCCTTTAGTATTATAACTTAGCCCTTTGAGCACGATAAGTTGCGATGACTTATCCCATTTTAGTTTGATTGAGTAAAATGAGCCTTGGGCTCAAATGCAGACTTGTGCATCTATCTAAATGTAGATGTTTTAAATTCATGAAATGGTATTGTTAATTCAAAGGCCATCAAACACAGCCAATCATCCCCTATATCACTGGGCAGGGCTGAGGTGAGAGCTTGATCATCCTCTCAGTGGTGGCCGACGGTATAGGAACAGGTCACAGTCAGGAGACTCGTGCCTGCTGACCTTGTAAGATGTTATTAGTAGAAGCAAATTTAAAAATTGCACTAAAACAATTAATGTCAGTGTAGGTGTTCTATATTCATGTGCAAGTGTAAATCGGGATTAATGATAATTCCGATTTAAATGTAATTTCAAATGCATTTACATTTGAAAACAAACCTATTTAATGCTTTTAGTGCGCGCGCAAGAATGAGAGAGAGAGAGAGAGAGAGAGAGAGAGAGAGAGAGAGAGAGATTATTGCCACAGGTTACCAGGCCAGGAGTTGCTAGGTATTTACAGGACAGAAAATAACCAACAAGATCTTCAGTTTCCACTACCGTAATCCTAAACTCGTCTCGAAATTGCCTAACTTGTGCCAGTTGAGGGGACGAGCTGGTCAGGAGGCGACAGGGGGAGGGATATGTGATCTTTAAACTATATATTATTGAATAGATCTGGGAATACGTAGTTATTTAAACTGTGTAGTGGTGCACAGATCTAAAGATATATTTACGTTCTATAGTGATGCACAGAGTAATGACTGTGCCTTCTGTTAGATTGTTTAGTGGAGCTAGGAATGAATATATAAACTATTTTGGTGCACAGAAATGTCTTTATTTACCATCTCTCACGAAAACAAACTCTTTACTCTCCCTATGTAACTCTATACATTTGTACACTGTCTTGGCAAACACGCAGGTTAGGTTAGGTTAGGTTAGGTTAGAAGTGATATTTTTGTTCAGAAATCAAGGTAACAAACTGATAATAAATGTTTCTTGTTTGTGTAGAAGGTTCTTGTAGTGTTTGTTTTTTTGGTGTTACGTAACTGAAGGTCAGATTCCCCGACAACTGATGTCTGTCGGGGCATTCCTACTTCGCTGTATAATTTTTTTTATATCTTTTTTACTCTTCAGAAGCTGTAATGGCTGTTATTAGTGTGTGTGTGTGTGTGTGTGTGTGTGTGTGTGTGTGTGTGTGTGTGTGTGTGTGTGTGTGTGTCCCTTTCACTACCACCATAATAACTCTTTTCACTCGTGTTCATTTACATAAGCACAAGTTGATGCGCCATTCAGCAACATTAAGCAATCTGTGCCTGATTTGCTGCACAACTCTTACAGCACATGTAAACAGCCCAGCTATCTTACAGCACACGAACACAGCACAAATCTTACAGCACACGTACACAGCACAACTCTTACAGCACACGAACACAGCACAACTCTTACAGCACCTTACACAGCACAACTCTTACAGCACACGAACACAGCACAACTCTTACAGCAACACAGCACAACTCTTACAGCACACGAACACAGCACAACTCTACAACACACGAACACAGAGCACACAGCACAACTCTTACAGCACACAAACACAGCACAACTCTTACAGCACCTACACAGCACAACTCTTACACCACACGAACACAGCACAACTCTTACAGCACACGTACACAGCACAACTCTTACAGCACACGAACACAGCACAACTCTTACAGCACCTTACACAGCACAACTTTACAGCACACGAACACAGCACAACTCTTACACCACACGAACACAGCACAACTCTTACAGTACACGTACACAGCACAACTCTTACAGCACACGTACACAACACAACTCTTACAGCACACGTACACAGCACAACTCTTACAGCACACGTACACAACACAACTCTTACAGCACACGTACACAGCACAACAGTACACAACACAACTCAGCAACTCTTACAGCCCACGTACACAACACAACTCTTATAGCACACGTACACAGCACAATCTTACAGCACACGAACACAGCACAACTCTTACAGCACACGTATACAGCACAACTCTTACAGCACACGTACACAGCACAACTCTTACACCACACGAACACAGCACAACTCTTACAGCACACGAACACAGCACAACTCTTACAGCTCACGAACACAACACAACTTTTACAGCACAGGTGTGGATTGCGTCTTAAAGTCACCTGTCGACATAGCTCTGACAAGTGATCTTGGGTCCTTCGTGCCCGGTGGCGAGTCCGGTGGTACAGTTTACCAAGGCCTGAGAGTTCAAATGCTCGTGCTTGGCTAGCGCGCAACCGCCGTCCGGCTGACAGCGTACAGCGACATCGTTTTCCAGATGGTCGTGGTTCTTATAATCATGGTCGTGGTTGTTATAATCATGGTCGTGGTTGTTATAATCATTGTCGTGGTTGTTATAATCATAGTCGTGGTTGTTACAATCATGTTCGTGGTTGTTATAATCATTGTCGTGTTTTTTTTTTTTTTTTTTTTTTTACGGGGATTAGCCCACCCGGGCACAGGTCACTGACCCACATCTGGGCCCGGGGGACGAAAATGTATTAATAATAATAATAATAATTCATAGTAAATAAAATGTATAATAAAATGTAAAATAAAATATTAATGGTAATAATAATAATAACAACACTGATAATAATAAATACAAAGAAATGCAAGAATGAAAAAAACAAAAACAGTGAGAAACGCTATATGTATGTTGTTTTGTCATGTAATAGAAACAATTGAGACCCTAAAATTGTGTAAATGAGGCAGAAAGTCAGATCAGCAACCTGAGACTTGGTCACAATTTTCGTGATGCCATATGGCAGCAGGGTCTACCATTAGACAACACATTATGCTGCCACTATCTTCCCAGGCGGTAGTACCTCCCTGTTTGGTAGCTGCCTACTACCTACTACCTTTGGGTGACATAATTGTAGTCGTGGTTGTTATAATCATGGTCGTGGTTGTTATAATCATGGTCGTGGTTGTTATAATCATAGTCGTGGTTGTTATAATCATGGTCGTGGTTGTTATAATCATGGTCGTGGTTGTTTATAATCATAGTCGTGGTTGTTATAATCACGGTCGTGGGTGTTATAATCATGGTCGTGGTTGTTATAATCATAGTCGTGGTTGTTATAATCGTGGTCGTGGTTGCTATAATCATGGTCATGGTTGTTATAATCATGGTCGTGGTTGCTACAATCATGGTCGTGGTTATTATAATCATGATCGTGGTTGTTATAATCATGGTCGTGGTTGTTATAATCATGGTCGTAGTTGTTATAATCATGGTCGTGGTTGTTATTATCATGGTCGTGGTTGTTATAATCATGGTCGTGGTTGTTATAATCATGGTCGTGGTTGTTATAATCATGGTCGTGGTTGTTATAATCATGGTCCTGGTTGTTATAATCATGGTCGTGATTGTTACAATAAGGGTCGTACCAGAGACTAACACAGGTAGAATAAACCCCACACCTAATCTTTAATCTCAATAAACCCAGATTAACCTCACCTAATCAACAGGATTAGAGACCATTAGGATTGTACCACCAATACCGATACATTTCACACTGGATTAATAACAAAACATTTAATCACATTTCCAATAGCTAATGTCTTACAGATATCTTATCAAGTTGTGAGTCTTACATGTCTATATACTTATGTTTTATTCTTACAAATATTCATAGTTCGTTGTGTATGGTATTATATGGTATTATATGGTATTGTACTGTATTGTATCCTGCTGACAGCGTACAGCGAATGAGGGTGCGGCATGTCCGTAGACTTGCTTCGTTTTCCATCGTAAATAAAATGGTTAATTAATGCCTTCCTAAAGAAACCATCGACATGGGACCAGGTTTGTTCCACTCTACGAATTTTTTTGCGATTCTTTCACCAAGTTTGACGAAAAACGATTGTGCCGTTTCGGCTGCCCAGAACAGACAGACAGACAGACAGACAGACAGACAGACAGACAGATAGTCCTATAGTATATTTGATGCCGAGAGCTGCTACTAATTGACAGACCCGCGTAACTAACAAATACTTCTCATGGTTAAAGAACTGCGATAGGCGAGGTTGAAAATAAACTTAGACGCTGCAAACGCTGTGTTTCTCTGTATGATGAAGAACAGGTGGTCATATGGTGTGACAGTGTTGCTTCCTCTCCTCCCTGGCTTCACCTGAGAGATGGAGTAGCGTGAGGCGTCGTAGTCCACATCTCGTTTCTTGCTAAGTTATCCCTGAGGTGCTGGAGGGCTGTGGCCTTGCTCCCACTCTTTTTACTGTGGGTATGTACACGTGGTTTTGGGCAGGTTGGTGGATCTGTGTGGACAATTCTGTGTTCACTAAACTACTCTGTGTTGATGATGTTATTGATTTGTGTGAGTATTTTATGTACTTTTATCTACTTTTTGTATAGCAGCGCCTGTGTAAGTAGAAGGTTAGCGAATGTTCGTACAGTGAACTTACATTAAATATGTTAGTGAGGGTTGGAGGAAATGCCAGACATTTTTGATCGCTCGCTCTGCTGCTTCCTGACTTGATGAGGAAGGATGTGAAGACTGCTGGTCTTTTGACTAAGTACCAGAATGTATTTATATATATTTTGAGTTTTACCTGGTGAAGCTGTCCAGCCGTCGGTATCTAGGACGTCAAACTCCTCCTCGTGTTTGTTTACTTTGGTAGTGACTTTCTGCAACAGTGGAAGGTCAGGTGCCGATGGGTCAGTAGGAGATGTTGATATAAGCAAAAAGACTTAACGCCAGTATAGGAGCAGTCAACAACGCCTGGCTTTATCCTCAACCACACTATAAACATACTTATTTGTTCGGCAGAAATATAGATCAACCCCTTGTTGCCGGTAATAGTTTTTTCTCTCTTGATTGTCAGTCTATAGGGTCTCAGTAAATGATTCTAGTGGGTGTGGTGTTCTCACATTTGGGCATTTTTTTATCGGCTAATTTAAAAATGGTCGCCATTCGCAAGTACAGCTCTCCAGAAGTCAAATAAATGGTAGTGTCATTTCATGGTGTTTCCCCCAGAATAATATCTAAATTATATCAATGATGAGCATTTCATGTGATGGTCATGTTCTAGCAGGAGATGTCTTTGTGAGTTGGGGCTTCGAGTATGTTCCACCTATGATTCATCCAAAATTCACTGTCTCGGAATGGCCCACGGGAAAATGGTGATAGATAAATGGACACGCTGGGAATAATGTGCTACCATGACCTACTGAATATATGTAACTAAGTTTTAATTGTGTTTCATATAAAGGTGATATTTTCTACCAGTGTTATGAAGAGAATTTATTAATTCCTTCACTGCTATTATTTTTTTTCAGAATGCAGCCAAAATGTTTTGGTGGTGGCCAACTTATGTTTATATTTATAGAGCTCACAATCCCAATGTGGATGATATGATGATGGGTAATTAAATATGGTGGTGGTTCTCTTTTCAGGTGTCTGGATGATGGAAGCAGTTTGCGTATTTGAATACAAGTACAATTGTGACAGAACCCAGCCTTGCATACAAAACAAGGGACTTTCCAGGTACGTCGTATAATATAAAAGGAAATAACAAAGCCCAACCATTAATTAAGCAACGGGGAACTAAGTAACCAATCACCGATCACTTTTATATTCATTCATAATTTTTACTACGTTTTATAGTAAACAAACGGCCTTGAGTTGTTAGCTGTCTCCAGCAGTGTTCGAAAAATCTTGAACGAGACTGTACACCAGGCCTTCCAATTCACCAAAGATGCTCTGGAACACCGCTGATCTCTACAAAGAGTATCAAGATCACGACAGATCAATACTGTCTCGGTCACAATTGGTTAATGCTGTATTACATCATTTCGACAGCGAGGTCCTTATTCTGCCATCCCCTGGTTATTCGCACATCATAACCATTCATAGTCAAGCTGCAAAGCTGCTAAAGGTAGTGAGAAAGATCACATTGAAGAGGATGATGTCAATCCAGGTATTAACAGAATAGCCAAACAAATCATCACAGAATGCAAATCTGTTCATCTTGACATCAACATTATACAAGAGGCAACATCTAGCACCTTGATGGATCTACTGGCTGCAGTTTCCCCAAAGTTGAAGCATTCAATGACTGATCTATTGATCGGCACGTGGTCACATCAGCTGTCAGAAGTCAACCCACTGATCTTCAAGTGGCCATTGAGATTTTCTTTAGAGATGCTAAAATTCAGCTGCTTTGTCTGCATGACTATGAATGCAACAACATTTGCTTTTCGTATGTCAGTGACTCATAATATTAATGATTATTCTGGTAAAACATTCCAAGATTATGTTGTTTGTTAGTAAAATACCAAGTCAGCAAATTTGTTCTAAGTGACAAAGTGCTATGATACAATACATGTGATGATATATGAGTGAAATTCATTGTTATTTCACCATTCCATACCAACAAGATGAGTAAATGTTGGTATTTCATGAGTCAGTATTATTGAAATATTTGCGATTTAAAATACTAAGGGTACCTGTAAAAAATAATCAGTATCTCAAGTTGACCAAGGGAGAGAGCTCCACACCCACCTGTAAACATTTACAGAGACACTATAAACTATGAATCAAAAGAGAAAAAAAAAACTATTACCGACATTTTGGGGTCAAGGGGAATTTCCTCATTTATTTGCCGGACTATATAGAAGTTATATCTTGGACCTACAGGGACCTATATATCTTTGTAAACACCTTTAACATAGGCTCAAAACTACTGTTACTCTGAAATTTTGCTTTGTATTGTTAAATGTATTTATTTTTATCAATTGTCTATCAAATCGTTTAGTGTTCGGATTTAGCAAATTTTCCCATTAGACACTTAATGTAGCCGATGCTGTAATTATATTATATATCTTACTGATGCTGTTGTATGTTACTTCATGTGTTAGGTCTGATGATGAAAATAGATATTATCGAAACGTTACTCAATGGATAGATTGCTGTTTATTCAAGCGTTGTGCTGTGTGTTATTCCTCCTACGTATACACATCACCCGGAAGAGTTTCTCTAATATACTGCATCTCTCTGTCTCAACTCCAGGAAGAGACTAAACCTGCGGCTCGACTCCCATTATCTGATAACCCACAAAGAGGTTTATTTCTGAAAGG